AACGTGTTTATAAATGATTTCAAATGTGATGCCAAGTGGAGCCTAAAAGTACATATATGGCATTGAATGGAAATATTGTTTATAATTAGGTCAATTAAGGCCCTATCTCGAATAAGTTATAAGTGCATTTCATATAAAGTCGAAACAAAACTCCTATCACATACTTATTCTTTTGGTCCTATTTACAACTCACTTCTAGTATGTTTCACATAGATTAAGGAAAACCTTAAATTTTATTAACTCTCATTTAAAATTCAACATCTTTCTAACATAATAATAAATAAGGGGTAAAATTATGCATTACATAAAAAATTTCTCTTAGTGCCCTATAAATAGGACCAAAAATGTCTTTTCTCTCTATCCTATAAATAGGATCAGAGGAGTACTTCGTATTTCGTAAATCACAATTAAAAAATTACCTATAAGTCATTTTAAATAGCCCATAAATCTCTTAATCACATACCTGTTCGATTTTTCTATATATTACGGAGACCTTAAGGGAAATGACTGCCTAGATACAACGTCTTTTTTTTTTTTTTTTACCAGAGGCCTAGATACAATGTCAAAACTAATACCTAGATGATGTTCATTGCATGGTAAGGTAATCTCTTATATTCATTGTCATCTCGGCATGATTATTCGTTTTTATTTTGAGTACCATATAAATATAAATATATATATATTATACATCACATTAAGCATGTGCATGGTTGTTGAACTTTCTCCTATCATAATATAGTGGAAATAATGTACTCCTAATCCTTTGTGGTGCGCACAGTTTTTCATTTATGCTCATACAAACGAAAAGAGAAGCGGCGGATTGGGCGGCCTCATTTTGGGACCCATCGCTATATCAAATGGAGAGGAAAGCATTAAACACTTAAAAAGAAATGAGGAGTGATGATTCAATATTGAATAAGTTTTAAGACGTGCAAGCGCAACTTTACAGGAAATGTTATATAGTTTGTCATACTATTCATAGTTTTAAATATATATTTGATTGATTATTGATTATGCGACATATAAATTTTCAAAGATACCTAGATATCTAAGTTTTTTAGCAGTTGCAACTCATGTTCTACGGAGCAATACTTTTCCAAATGGATACCTAATACCTAAGTCTTTTAGCAGATGCAACACTTTTTCAAAATATGTGTAATACATCTTTAGTCATGGACAAATGTTCTCCATCTTACACATATAGTTAACGATATATTGCACACACATAAAGAAAAGTTATATCTATCTATGAAATTTTTGCTACTTTTAGGCAATAAACTTTATAATGATGGATTTTTCAAATAATTTTTTCCTGTACAAATATATGAGATGTTTATAGATCATTTGAGTGGGCCACTTTTACTTAAAATACGTTTGGAATGACGATAAAATAAGTAGCTTATTTTTTTTTTCAATTTAACTTTTGAAAAAGTTATATTAGGTAAAAGTTAGATTGAGTAATGTAATTTACATTTGGATTGAATTTTATAAAAAATAGTTTGTAAAAATAGAAAAATTGTTTGGATTGACTTTTATAAATAAATCCATTTATAAAAATAAAGCTGTTTGGATTATTATTATTAAAAAAATAAGTTTAGTTGTAAAATTAGTATAAAAAAAGTGTGAATTTTAATAATACTCCCTCTAATTCAAAATATAAGTATCAAATAACTAAACTATGCAACTCAAAAAATTAAAACACATTTAACGATTTAACTAACATTCTTTGTTTTGTGAAAAGGTTTAAATAACATCCTATATTATAAATTAGAAAGACCAATTCTTTAGTCCTATTTATAAGTTACTTCTAATATATTTTATATAGATTTAAAAAATCTTAAACTTTATTAACTCTCATTTCAAATTCAACAACTTTTTAATTTTATACTTATCAAATATAAATTATAAACAAAGTAAATACAATAATAAAAGGGAAATCGCAAAAAAAAAAACCCTTGAATTTGAAAAACACAGATAAGGATCTGTGATAATTTTACTATGGGTTTTGACAAATTCATGATATATTATTATTATCAAAAGCCATAATGAAGTTGTCAAGGGTCCCTATATGTGTTTTTTAAGTTCCAGGGTCTTTAATTGTGATTTTCTTAATAATAAATGAAGGGTAAAATTATATATTCATATGAAAAAATTTCTCTCTCTATCTTATAAATAAAACTAAATTTTTTTCTCTCTACTTTATAAATAGTACAAAGAAGTAGCATTTAATTTCTTCTATCTTCATGATTTAGCTTCTCTCCCCATGGTGGTAAATCTTTTGAAAGTGGGAACTGGATTTTTTTTTTTTCCCTCTCTCCACTTTTCCAACCCCACAGCCACAAGCATCAAATTTTTACTTTTGGCTTAATCCGACGATTTTGATATAAGGTCTTATCTTTTTAAGTTATTCCAAACATAATCAAATATGCCAAACGTGCTTTTAACCCTTAAAAGTTACTTAAAGGTCACTTAAACATGGTTCCAAACAGTCACCTAAGTGATGTGTCATGATATTATGGTTTGTTTTGGCCATCGGATCATGATATTATGTCAATTGAATAACGATATTCTTTTTTTTTTAAGTGACACATAACTTAGTGTCCTGGGGCCGCAAGGTTGTCCAGTACTCCTCTATGCGTGGGATGTTTAGTTGCTTCTGCTCTAACTTTCATTGCTTGTGGAGTTGCATTTGCTATGAAACTGCTCATTTGGTTAATTATGCTGGTGGTAGAGTTAAGGATGATTTGCGATGGGTTCCTCCTTGGAAAGGACATCTTGGTGTTCGTACTGTGAAAATGTTTGATATGGGCTTGGAAATGTCTAGTTGGCTTCTATTGGTTCAAGTTGCTTTCGTTGTTCCATTCTGCTTGACAGAGGATTGCTTGACTCCAATGGACACTGATATTCTTGGCAAAGCTGTGACGTTTGGTCACTCTCAGTGGATCCTAAGAAAATTTAACTCAGCTGTGAAGTGGATTCTCACCTCAGCTTACAGAGGGATGTGCTTGAAAATTTGGGTGTCAAAACCCCCATCTCTCTCTACTCCTTTCCTAGTGCTCTTTACTGAAGTGCCTAGGAGGTTTTGTTGCTGTTTCCCTGCCCTTTTCCTGCTTTTCCTTCAGCTTCTTTGTTTTTTTTGGTTTTGCTGTTGCGTTCGACTTTGCTTTAATCTGTTTGTACTGACTTGATTATCAATATATTTTGTTCCTTGATTCCAAAAAAAAAAAAACTTAGCGTCCTGGGGCCAGTGTAATTCATGGGATGCCATTTCTGGGCCATGCACTTTTCTGTTCTTTCGAAAGTTGTTCTGTGCTGAATTGAGTACTTGAGCTAGAACACCAAACCTGGATCTACCAACCTAATTAAACTCAAGCATTTATGAACGATACATATAACATTTACAATATAATGTTACATTATAAGTTAGATCTTATATTTAACACTGAAACAATAGTTTTCAGTATGTTCCATGGAATCAAATTCTTCATACTTAACCTGTCTTTAAATACAAATAATCTTTTTGGTCCTCACACTTCTGTTCACGGGAAAGATAGTGATTTCTATATCCCAAAATGGTAGCACATGGGGTGTGTGATATAGGTGGGTGAGCATGGTCCCTTCTTTATAGAGGAGTGTTAAATTGTCAAAATTAAAAAAAAATTTATCTTTTGATATTCACAAAATTGCATATGACTAATTAACCAGCCCTAACATGATTGTGAATAAAGTAAGATGGAAAGTTATATACACACACACCTATGCACACTTGCACACAGATATATCAGTGCCCCTAACCAATGAATTATAGCTTCAAGATTTGAATTCTAATAATTACAAAATATCGGCCAAAAAAAAATAATTACAAAATAACACAAAATCATCTTAGGAAACAACAATTTCCAACATCACGTACACACATGGGTTCATTATATTGTGATTTGAATTATCAGTATTTAGTAGAAAAATATAAAATTTCCCCCAAAAAAAAAGAATGCATTATTGCAGGCAAATCAATATACTCATTCTTTGTATTTTATACAATGTATGAACAAAAACGTATGTATTTTGGCTCAAAAGATAAATTACTGCGTGCCCAAAATAAATCAACGTATACAGAATTCGGTCATTTTTAACGTTGAAATTAATCACCATTTTAAATTTACCTAAACTCGCGCAAGTGCACATGCATATTTATAACATACTCTAATCTAACATACTACCCATTGTCCTAATTATAAGATCTCATTTATAAATTACAAACGAGATATTATAATTAGGATCGAAGATATTACTATTCATAAGTTATATATTAAAATCATTACTTATTTCTCATATTCTATACAATGTAATAAAAAATGCATGTAATTTACATTTAAAAAAAGTAAACGAATTTTAGTCACCAAAAAAAAAGTAAACGAATTTTAATGTTGACATTCTAAATCTAAATTTATCAAAAATCACAAACAGCTCTGTGCGCCTATTCATAAAATTTAGAATCTTCTTAATTATTGGCTAATTAAATTCCCCTTAATTGCAATTAAAGAGGGAGAAATTGAGAATTCAAAGAACCAAACACGCACACATACACATATATAGTACAAGGGTACGCGTTTGTGTGGTTTTCACAAGTCACGAACTTAGGTAAAGAATTGTTTGGAATTGCAAATTCATCGAAAAGTTCATCTCTCCATGAAAAGGTACGCACACATGCACACGTGTCACTCTCTGATAGGCTATGACTTAGCGGTGCTAACCCAATCCTGGAACCGAAGACGACGACAACAACCTTCAACTATGACTTCCAATGACGTTGTCACAGACAGAAAACACACAGAGAGAGAGAGAGGAGAGAGAGAGAGAGAGAGGATGATAGATGAGGTGTCGTTGGCAGAAGAACTTGAAAAAAAATGAGAGGCCTCAATTCGCCAGCCTTACATTCTCTTATATGTGTTTGTGTTGTATAAGGGCAGGCTTTGCTTCTGCCTTACCTTATCCTATCCACTCACTCCAATTCTCTCCTCTTCCTTTTTACCCTCTTCGTTCTCTCTCTCTCCCCCCTCTCTCTCATAGCTTCACCATCCCCTTCCCTTCTTCTGTATGCTCCATCTTCTTCGTCACTTCTCCTTCATTTATCAGTATACTTCTCTTGTATTTGTCCATAAAACCCAGAAAAAGAAATATATCAGTGTTTGAGAGTTTTGGTGCGTTTGCGTCTTTGTTTTCCCTTGCGGCGAAATTGAAGTTCCTGTTTTTATCGCATTTATTATTATATATACAGTGAGGAAGTTTGAATTCTGCGGATATTATTCCTGGCGGTTGGTGTTTTGTTCCTGTCACTCCCAAGAATCTTCCAGAGTTTGAGGGACGGAGATTATTAATTTAGTTCCAGTTCATTATTCGATGAATTCAACTATTGCCTCATAGTTATTTCCGTCCAGAAAGAAGAAGTGAAGAAGAAGAAGAAGAAGTCAAGAAGCTAGCCAGCTCGCTAGTGCAGCTAAATTGAACTCTCTTAAAGCCACCTTCTTGTTCATTCCCAAGAAACAACTTCAATTTCTGCAATGGCTCCCAAAACTGGCAAAACCAAACCCCACAAAGCTAAGGGAGACAAGAAGAAGAAGGAAGAGAAAGGTTCGTTCACACACAAACACACACACGTATCTGTATATATCTATCTCTGCAATTAGAATCTGATAAACTGATGAGTTTGAAGGAGCTAGCTAGCAAGTCGATTCTGTATTGGCGTGGCTATGTATTGTTTCATTGAAGTGTGTTTTAAGATTAATTGAAGCAATTTCTGGGTGGTCTTATCTTCTGGGAGATGCATGATTGTTTCTCATCTGGAATACATTGTATCCATTGCAGTTTTGCCAACTGTAATTGAAGTTACTGTGGAGACCCCAGACGATTCTCAAGTGACCATTAAGGTACATGGGACATTTATTTGTCTTTTTCTTTTTCCCAACTTGTGACTTTGTTTTAGGGGGCATATCTTTTATTACCTTCTTTGAACCCCCCCAGCTAAACTAATCATTCAAGTTTAACTCTTTTCTTTTAAGCCCCGCCTTTTTCTTTTTTAATATTTTACAACTGGATATTTACATTAATTGTCATCCCAACTTCTCGTACTATCATATAATAAAATTCATAAGAAGTCTTATATATATTATTCCTCCTAAGTCTTGAAAAGTAAGTTTTACCTTCATAAAGCGTATGGGGTCCAGGTCTACATTTGATTTCACAAAAGTGAAATAAATAGTTAAAAGCTTCTTTCATAGTTATATGAAGTCCAGTTTTTTTCTTTCGAGCAATGAGAATAAATGTGGAAAATTGTGGGCTATGCAGGGAATATCTACGGACAGGATCTTGGATGTGAGAAAGTTGCTTGGGGTCCACGTGGAGACATGTCACCTGACCAACTACTCCTTATCCCACGAGGTGCGCTTTCTTCTAATTACTCACTTGTATCCCCATCTACTTCTTTTATTACGAAGTCTCCGGGACCACCGTCCAAATTTTCGGTTTAGTCCCTTACAAATTTGGGTTCATTCACACTCCCTCCATATCACCCAATAATTGGCCTTCTTTTATTTTCTTATATAGCTTAATTATAATACTCCTCTGATCCTTAATATAAGACCTATTTAACTAATTTGATTAAATTAAAGAAGTTAGGTAAGTTAGTTAATTATAAAAATGTGACACGTTCTTTCTAAAACATCATAATTATCTTTCTTAATACCCCTCTTCTTCTTCTACTTGATTATGGTTAAGGGAGTATCCATACGGGTAATTTAGAAAAAATTGATAAATATGAAAAATAGGTCTTATATTTAGGATCAAAATCAACTTAACAATTAGGTCCTATTAAGGACTGAAAGAGTAATTTTCTATCAGCATGATTTTCTATGATTTATTTTATATAATTTTGAAAAAATTTTTGGATGTCTAAAAAGGTGTTTGAGTATCAAGAAAAGTGTTTTTAAAAAGCACAACTCACTCACATATTTATTTCATATATTATAAAAATTATTTTAAAACTATGATTTTGATTCCATCTAAACACCTTCTAACTCTAAAAAAAAAGAAAAAGAAATATTGATGGGCTCCACACTTGGGCATCAAAGGGGCAAGTGGTTGGGGTCTTTGATTGCTCCAAGCATTTGCTTACTACGTACAAATATAGAATCCAATGGCAACTTTGACTGTACAAGTTGTAGAATTTATTTTAGATTCTTTAAATAAATGCATGACATGTAACTATCAGGAGAAAAGTATAAAAGAATGAATAAGATATAAAAATTAAATTATACGAATTTTCCATTTTCCATACAATAATCTGAGATAAAAATTGTGTTTATTTAAACCAAAAAAAAAGTTCACGGATTTCATTATTTTATGATTTAATTTGTTGGAGCTTACAAATTGACTCCCCTGCTCCTATCTATAAGGCATAGAATTACTTTGTAAACTATTTTTTAAGGAGGATATACATATGAGTAAAGTTGGAAAATTATTAAATTTTAAGATAACTTTAATAAGGTTTAATTTTTTAATTTTGGTGAATTATGTTAGAGGTGCTTTATATATATTTATAATCAATACCGCTCTGATTCTAAATATAAGTCATTTATAGATGAACGATTTTGGTCTAAAATGGAAGTCAGTTGTCCTATATTTAATATTACCTTTGATCCTTAATATAAAAACTAGATTGACATTCAATTTAATCATAAATATAAGATCAAAATTCACTTTGTCTCTTATATTTATTTATTTTTTCAAAATAACGTTGTAGTAGTTGCACATATTAAAGGTTTTATTAAAAAAAAAATTGCATAGACGTCCCACAAAAGACAAAATACTACCAAAAAAATCCCTAGAAATCTAACAATTGTTTTGGAGTCTCAAAGAGACTTGACTGCAATAATGAAAAAGTAAAAAGGAGCTTGTTGCCCCTAGTACAAAAAAAAGTGTTTAAAAGAGATAGTTGTCAAAGTAGGCCGCAATAATTGTTAATATTACTGTTTCACTTGTCAATTTATCTTTTGATATAAATTTGAAAAAAGTGATTTCAAATTACATAATAACAAGTAATATTGATATATTCTCTAGACTAATACTTCTGGATGATAATGTGATATAATATTATTATTAAAAATCAATTATCACTTATAATGTGAAGAGTTAATTAATGACAAGTGATTTTATAATTTCATATGAGTGATAATTGACTTTTAATAATAATATTATATTACATTGTCATCAAGAAGATGATATGTCAATATTACTTGTCATTATGTAAGTTTAAATCACAATTTTTTAAAATTTATATTAGTAGATAAATTGATAAGTGAAACAATAATATTGACAATTATCACGACCTACAATAACAACTTTTGTGGCCTACTTTAATAACTCTCTTTTTTCAATACTTTTTCTATACTAGGGGCAATAAGATCCTTTTCACTTTTTTATTATTGTAATCAAGTCCGACTCTAAAGTAATTATTAGATTTTAGGGACTTTTTTGTAGTATTTTATCTTCTGTGGGATCTCAGTGCAATTTTCCTTTCATTAAATAATAGTTCTAACTAATAGACATGATTAGTAAATGTATTTTAAGAAAGACAATATCTATTTATTACAAATTACTAAATTAATTTTTACGATCTACTCAAATTAATTAACTAACTCTTATATTAAAGGTAGAAAATAGTACTTGTTTTTCAATTTTGTTCTTATTTAATTCTTATTGGAAAGAGAGGAAGAAGAAATAAATATAAAAATAATTTATAAATATAAAGAAGAGAAAAATTTAATAAAAATAAAAATAAAATTGAAAAATTTTGATAATTTAATGCATTTATATACTACTAAAATACTCCATTCTTTCAAAATATAAGCTAAACTTTGTTGGAAGGCTTGATTTTTTTATAAGATAACATTCACTTTTGTCGAAACATTTAATGATTTCTTTTCTTTTTATCCCCATATATTCTCTTTCCTCTTTAATTTATTTATTACATTTTTTACTTATTTTTTTCATTAATAAGGGCATATTTTGAGAAAAAATATATGCTTACATATTTATTGTTTTAAAGTGATTTTAACTATTTTCTTGATAAATATAAATAGATAAAGTCTAGTTTATATTTTAAACCGGAGAAAGTATGTTACAAGTGAGGCAAGGCAATTAAGAAAAGAGTGTGTTTTCTTTTTTTTTTTTTTTCTTTTTTTGGCCAAACAGTGTGTTTTCTTGAACATAACAAATTTATATACTACAGTCCTAATTATGAGAGCCAGTTGACTAATTTTAGAAGACTAAGAAAGAAGTTAAATTAATTATTTGTAATAAATAGGTGTTATTTTTTTAAAATATTTTGCCAATCAAAAGTATTGGTTATAAAACTACCATTGTTAAAAGGATTATTTGAAAAAAAAGTGTATAAATATTAGAGGCAAAGTATATTGGTTCTTATATTTAGAACCAAAATAAAAATCAAATAAGGTATTATATTAATCCCTTGAAGATTAATGTTCAGTGAAACTGGTGGCCCGCCTGAAGATCGATAATTTGTCCTCTAATTAGCGGCTTTTTTTTTTTTTTGGGGGGGGGGGGGAGATAAAGGCAAACGTTAAGGGACTCAAGAAGGCAAACGTTAAGTTTAATTTAAACGCATGAAAACGTTAGAACTCTCCTAACGAACAAAACGCTGATGATGAACAGGTGCGAGGTCCTAGGCTGAAAGATTCCTTGGATATCGTCTCCCTGAAGCCTTGCCATCTCTCCATTGTCGAAGGTGAGTAAAACGAAACTCAAATGACAATCCAACTGTCATCTTTTCGAGATCTATTCTATTCGATGTGAGCCCATTTTACCCCATCGTCCCTCTTAATTACTTGTTTCTCTCTTTTCTGTCAGAGGACTACACCGAGGAGCTCGCAGTGACTCACATTCGGCGACTCCTTGACATCGTGGCATGTACCACCGCCTTCGGCTTCTCCTCCGCCGCCGGTAGGCCGGTTGTCCGGTCCAACACGAAGGATCCTGCTGGAACCAAAGAATCCGGTTCGGTTGAGACCGAACAATCTCAGCAGCAGAGTCCAACTTCAGAAAATGGATTGGAAACCAACTCGAAGCCCGAATCTGGTGATCAGAAACTTGATTCCGGCGGGGGAGCAGTTCAGAAAGGTGGTGTTCAAAAAGGCGACAAGTCGGATAAAGTGGACATTGACATTTCCATGTGTCCCCCACCGAGATTGGGGCGATTTTACGACTTCTTTTCGTTCTCGCATCTCACGCCTCCTATACATTGTGAGTCTTACTAAGCATGGTTCTCTTCCTGTTGTCTTCCTCTATCTGGGGAGCAATGTCTCTGGTATAAGTTGTGCAATACGTATTTTTTTAAATTCAACTGGCTGCTGATTAGAACAATTACTTTCTATTGTCTAGTATCATATAAGTAGCAATGGTGATATTGGTCGTCGGACTAGAGCCGTAGGATATCGAATTAGTGCTCTGAAAAGAAATTTTAAAGCTGTTCAAAAAATTTTGAAAAAATTTGCTCCAACTAAATTTGCCATTAAAATTTTTGTTTCTCTTTGCTCTCTTTTCTTTTGTTGAGTTCTGAGAATTCATTTTTCAAAAAAAGTAAAAAAAAGGGTATAGTGCAAAGAGTTGTAAGTTTCAAGCAGCATAAGACAGTCAAGTTGTTTATTGGGCGTACAGCTTTCATATCGTACTTTTTCTGCATGGATGGAACTTTATTTCTAAGACACATCTAGCATATGTGATTAACTTTGTTTTAATTTTTGGTCTGAACCATGCATGATTAAATAAATAATCGCACACATATATTGAAAGGATTTTAGCTCGTTGACTACTACTCATATTAGTCCAGCATTACAAAAATTTGTGAATATATTTCGCAGTATGTGGACATGAAACCCAGTTTTCTTAAAGCGCGTTGATTCTTTTACAGACATACGAAGGTCAAATCGTCCATTTCTAGAAGACAAGACAGAAGATGATTTCTTTCAGATTGATGTGAGGGTTCTTGCCTTATTTATTTGTATCTCTTTATGTTAATTTGCTGTAGGGTTGTGCTATTTTGTAGTCTACCCTCAGTGAGTTTTAGCAATATAATATATCTTGGGATTGCCATGCATATGATATGTACAGGTTAGGGTTTGTAGTGGAAAACCAACAACAATTGTTGCTTCCAGAAAGGGATTCTATCCTGCTGGAAAACGTCTCCTTGTCAGTCATACTTTGGTCGGCCTTCTTCAGCAGATAAGCAGGGTATTTGATTCTGTAAGTTTGAACTCATTGTTGTTAATTTACATCTGCTTTTTTTATAGTACTTCCAGATCATTTTTTTCTTTGTAGTGATTGTTTATTTTCTTAATTGAAAATTATATTTGCCTATTTATATGTCTTATTTCATTTTAATGGAGCATCTTAATAGTGACAAATGGAATTACTTCTTGCAGGCTTACAAAGCTCTTATGAAAGCCTTTACAGAACACAATAAAGTATGTACTTTCATCATATGTTTTCAAGCTATTCTGTTCAGAAAAGGTTTTCACACTTGTGGTACCATTTCAGTTTGGCAATCTTCCTTATGGCTTTCGTGCAAACACGTGGGTTGTCCCTCCAGTTGTTGCTGACAATTCATCTGTCTTTCCCCCACTTCCAACGGAAGATGAAACTTGGGGAGGAAATGGTGGTGGACAAGGCAGAGATGGTAAACATGATAAGCGACAATGGGCAAGAGAGTTTGCAATACTAGCCGCAATGCCTTCTCAAACGGCAGAAGAGAGGCAAATTCGAGATAGGAAAGCCTTTCTGTTGCACAGTTTATTTGTCGACGTGTCAGTCATAAAAGCCGTTTCAGCAATAAAGCATCTTAAAGAAATCTCTTTAAACAGTCCAACTACCCAAACTTCCTATGAAGAAAAAATTGGAGATTTGGTTATTAAGGTGACCAGGGACGTATCTGATGCAAGTATGAAGTTGGATTGCAAAAATGATGGAAGTCAGATTCTTGGATTGTCAGAAGAAGAACTTGCTCGAAGAAACTTGCTTAAAGGCATAACTGCAGACGAGAGTGCAACTGTTCATGTAAGTGAACTAATTACTGTGAGCCTGTTATAATTCACTGAGGTGTTTTATTAATAATTTTTGTCTTTTGTTCACATAGGATACTCCCACTTTAGGTCTAGTTATCGTAAGGCATTGTGGATACACAGCTGTCGTGAATGTTTCAACCAAGATAGATTGGGAAGGCAGTCCTATTCCTGTGGACATTGATATTGAGGACCAGCCCGAAGGTGGTGCAAATGCTCTAAATGTTAACAGGTCAATTCTTCTATCACTTGTATGATCTATTTAATGATCAAAAGAGGACTCCTTGAGTGACTACATATTCACTTTTTATGTTGGCAAACCATTTATCGATACACTAGATATTACAATAATGCGCTAATTGAGGAAAAATCTTGGCGCCTTTAAAGCGTTAAATGCTAATTGTGCTTTTAGTATTCTGTTGCTACATCTTTTTGGTTTCAATACCTTAACAAAATACCATTGCCTTAATGATGCTTTTGTATATGATATCATGTACTGATACAACTAATCAAATTGACTTCAGCTTGAGGATGTTGTTACACAAGTCATCTACACCTCAATCATCTAATACAATTCAACGAAACCAAAGCACAGACGTTGAAAATTTACGATCTGCTAGATCTTCGGTAAGGAGGGTTATAGAGAAAAGCTTACTAAAATTGCAGGAAGAGCCCACTAAACACAGTAAATCTATCAGATGGGAATTAGGAGCTTGTTGGGTTCAACATTTGCAAAATCAAACTACTGGGAAAACTGAGCCCAAAAAGTCAGAAGACTCTAAACCTGAACCGGATGTTAAAGGGCTTGGGAAGCAAGGTGGATTACTAAAGGAACTGAAGAAAAAGATTGACAACAGGAATTCAAAGGCTGAACAAGGGAAAGACACTTTAACAAATAATGGCGTTGACGTGACTAACAAGTCAGATGCCACTCAGGAGGAGTTAGAGAGGCAAGAAGAAGAAAAGGAAGCTCTGTGGAGAAAGCTGCTTCCTGATGCAGCATATGCACGCCTTAAAGAATCTAAAACTGGTCTCCATCTAAAGGTTTGTCTTTGATTTCTCTCATGAGCAAGCATGCCTATGTTTATTTTTTCCTGTGTGCCTGATTTAATTCACCAATAGAATTTATGGGCTTTCTAAATTCTAACTAGTATTATCTTAACTCATTAACCGTATTTATCATCCCTTGATATACAAGTATATATGCTGACATTTATTGTGACAATTTTCCACATTTGCAGTCACCTGATGAATTGATGGATATGGCACATAAATATTATGTTGAAACTGCACTTCCAAAGCTGGTCAGTTTCTTGACAGTATAGATGTTTTTTAGAGTTGTTAAGAAATCAATTTAAATGTCATGACTTCAAATTTGTTTAGGTGGCAGATTTCGGTTCCCTTGAACTTTCACCAGTTGATGGAAGGACATTAACTGATTTTATGCATACTAGGGGCTTGCAAATGTCTTCGTTGGGAAGAGTGGTAATAGATTTAATTATTTATCAACTTATGCACCCTACCTTGATTTACATCGTCAATTCATTATTTTATCATTTTATCACATCAGTTTTGACAACTTTCTCTTTTTAGTAACTTTTACAGTGTTCCTCATTCACTTAATGCAATTCATAGATAAAATAAAGAGTTAAAGATTGTGTATAACTAACACATGTCAATAAGAGCGAATTTATTTTTTCAGAAAATGAAACAACCTAAAGATTTAATAAAGTGAGGAAAAGAGGAGAAAAAAGGGAAAATGGAGAGTTCTGATAAAGAAAGCAGTTAAGAGGAAGCCCAAAAGCACCATTTATAGTTTGTTTCGTTTTCCATTTGAAGGAGCATATGGTTTTTTTTTTTTTGGTTGAATTGCTTCTGATAGCCCAACATCTTTCTTCCATCTCTCATCAATTAGAAGAATTTTTACTGTTACCATGTGATGCAAGACTTAAGATTTTGAAATCCAGATTTTGCCTTTTCATCGGAGACGTCAACAGATTTTTCGTTTGCAAAATTCGTGTAATATAGCTCTTAACCCGTCAAGCACAATATTATCGGTTATTAAAGCATTACTCTTAATGGCTTTATAAAATTAACATAATATTGATTCAAGGTCTAACCCAAGCTCCCCCCCCCCCCCCAAAAAAAAAAAGAACTTCTTCAAAGTCCATTTGCAATAATCTTTTTGTTGAAGTTCCTATTTCGCACGCCAGTTTTGTAGGATAATTCTGATTCTTTCCCTAATGCTGGTTTATACACCATAAAGTTACCCTGCTAGCTCTAGCACGTAACATGTTTATAATAGATGTTGTTAGGTTTGAATATGCCTATTAGATAACCTCACCAAGTATATGTTTTATTTGATTTCCACTTGCCAGGTTGAGCTTGCAGATAAGCTTCCTCATGTACAATCACTTTGCATACATGAGATGGTTGTTCGGGCCTACAAACACATCTTGCAAGCTGTCATTGCAGCAGTTGATGACGTATCTGAATTGGCTTCATCTATTGCATCATGCTTAAACATACTGTTAGGAACGCCAACTCCTGAAACAACAGATGCAGAAATTATCGATTGTGATAATTTGAAATGGAGATGGGTAGAAATATTCCTTCTTAAGAGGTTTGCGTGGAAATGGAAACATGAAAGTGTTCAGGATTTAAGAAAGTTTGCCATTCTACGCGGACTATGCCACAAGGTAAAAAAAACTCACTTTTTAATTATTGATATTAAGTTTGTTCTGCTTAATTACTTAAGACATAAAAATATTCTTTTAACAGGTTGGACTAGAGCTGGCTCCTAGGGACTATGATATGGAGACAACATCTCCTTTTAGAAAGTTAGATATCGTAAGCATGGTGCCCATATATAAGGTAAAAATATGACATATTTAATTTTGCTTGAGGGCTGTCATCATTAACTTTACCAGTTTCAATGATTGAATTTCATTAAAATATAAATTATTGGCACAGCATGTTGCATGCTCATCTGCTGATGGGCGCACACTGTTGGAGTCATCAAAGACTTCTCTGGACAAAGGTAAATTGGAGGATGCTGTCAACTATGGCACAAAGGTAATGTCATTTCAACATCTTAAGTGAGGATTTTGTATGAAGCCAATGTATAGATAAACCAACATATTGCATTGAATCTTGAAGGCACTGTCAAAATTGGTGTCGGTATGCGGACCTTACCACAGAATGACAGCAGGAGCATATAGCCTCTTGGCTGTTGTGTTGTATCATACGGGAGATTTCAATCAGGTATGTATTTTAATACCTTCAAATTCTTTCTGCTGACTCATCACTTGACTGGTAACATATACTGTGAAACTTCAAGCTGCTTGCAATAGTTGAATTCTGTGTGATTGTTAAATAATTTGAATTAGTGCATGAATTAGTTTTCCTTTCTTCTCTATTGCTACACCATGGCATGATTTACAATGTAAATTTTTTGAGAATTTTACAATCAGATGAAGGACTAGACATTTTCTCAACTCAGAAGTAAATAGACACAATATTTTGACATGGAATTTTAACAAATTTGGCTGCAAAGGAGACGATACTGAATACCATTTGTAATCATTTTATCTTTGGATTTATTAGGCAACTATTTATCAGCAAAAAGCATTGGATATAAATGAAAGAGAGCTTGGACTAGATCATCCTGATACCATGAAAAGTTATGGGGATCTGGCTGTTTTCTACTATCGGCTCCAGCATACAGAACTGGCTCTAAAGTATGTTTCTGTATATCCTATTCTAAGCAGAAACTTTTAGATCATTTTACTGTGACAGCAGTCTTCATTTTTCTCCATACGGGAAGCTACTTTCATATGCCTTTAGGAACCTTTAATTTTTAAAAATACACCTAATAATAATACAGGACCCCCTTTTTTTTTGGGGGGGGGGGGGGGGCTATGTTGTTATAGACTATTTTAGAGGTTTTACTAAGATCATAATAATTGATTAATGACTTTGAAGTACTCTTTGTACCTTGGCCATGCCTGAGAGGTCAAATTATCGGGAAAAATATTCTTTCCGATTCAATTATTCAAAATAAAAAGTTAACATTGGGAAAAAGCAATAAAATCTTATCATGGGAAAGAATTTCAAATCTAGATAAACATGATATACCGCTTAAAGAACTTACAGAACTGCCTTAAACCCTACATCTCATTATCTTGTGGAGTAATAAGCCAAAGACTAGTTAGATTTACATAAACATGTTTTGGAGGAAATAGGTTGAAGACAAGTGTCTAACATTAGGCAAAAAGAGGAAGATTAAAAATATAGTAGCTTCTGTTGAACATTTGTATAGGACCAGGTAATTTTAAAGAAGAAAAGAAATCACGAGTAATGACAAATCTAGAGGCTCGTTAATTAAAAGCATTCGAAGGAAGCATTATATTTTGAAAGCTAACAACATATTTATTGGTGAAGGCCTCAAGAGAGAGTCTTACCCATGTGTCATTTAGTACGTTCCTTCTATTTTCCCAACGTAATATCAGAGAGTCATCCAAATTACAATAGCTATTTAAGATCAATTGTTTCTTTTATAAAAATGATAAAAGATCATTTGTGTAAGAGCAACAAGAATTGCGGATTTTGGGACCGCAAGTTTCTGATATTCATAAGGAATAAATGAGCTTTAGATTAGCTTCGCTAGATGCTAATTTCTACAAGAACAATATAAAGCTTAAAAAAAATTCTTTTATATATTTATTCATTTGCACAGAATAACGCAGAGCATGCCTAGAATAGTTAAAACTCTTATTTCCTTGTAAATGTCTAGGTACGTCAATCGTGCATTGTATCTTTTGCACCTTACCTGTGGACCTTCACATCCAAATACTGCTGCAACCTACATTAATGTTGCAATGATGGAAGAAGGATTAGGGAACGTCCATGTTGCTCTCAGATACCTTCATGAAGCCTTAAAGTGCAATAAAAGATTACTGGGAGCCGACCACATACAGGTACACTCTTATTCCTAACAAAAAAAACTTAAATGTTTTCCATTGCATGACATATTATACCTCAGATGACATGCAATAAGTACCATGGGACATATTGAATGAAATTGACTTATGACTCTTCATTGACTTATGACTAAGTCACTAAAGTGAAAAAGAAAACAATCATACAAAAAATATCAAGTACTTTTCTTGGTTACAAGGCATTTGGGATCATTATTTAACTTGTCAAAGGTCCGTTACTGCACAATTAAAAAGCTGACGTGGCCAAGGTACTATTTATAGTAAAAGCTTGTAAAAACAATTTCGACAGGTACTCATTACTAATGGTACACAACTTTGTGAAAGTAATCAATTGCATTATGCAACTGCTCGTAATTTGCTGTGCCAAATTTTTGGTGCATTCTGTTATCAGGAGCACATGTTTACATGTCTAGTTTCTTCGTGCACATCAGATCAGGGAATGATAGCTGGCACTTATGATTTATTAACTCAATTCTCGGTTTACTCAGACGGCTGCAAGCTATCATGCAATAGCCATTGCTCTGTCTTTGATGGAAGCATATTCTCTAAGCGTTCAGCATGAGCAAACCACCTTGCAAATACTACAAGCTAAACTTGGCTCTGATGATCTTAGGACACAGGTAGTCATCTTACAAGTGCAACTTAATAGTAAATATTCAACATATGATGATCCCCCCTCCTCAAATATGTACATGTGAACTTTTGGTAGGATGCTGCTGCGTGGCTCGAATATTTTGAGTCAAAGGCTCTTGAGCAACAAGAGGCTGCCCGCAACGGTACACCTAAGCCAGATGCCTCAATCTCCAGCAAGGGTCATTTGAGGTAGATACTACAATTAGAATAAGGCTTTTCCCTTGAATCCATGAACTAATGGGTGGCTTTTACCCTTTTAACAAGTCTAAATCATCCCATTTTGAGCACAAGCATTTTGATTCAATCTTCAATTTTAAGTTCATGCTAGCCTTGAACTTGTTTTACCAAATATTCCAGCATTAGCTATCCCTAAATAAATGTTTATCAAAAGACCATTGCAAGGTGTTGAAACTTCGAGTTGAAAACAGCATCTAGCTGTACTGGTAAAATTTGATAGTTCCTAGTCTGTCCTGCTAAATCCAAAGTAACCCTAAAGCCTAACCTATGAAATCAAGAAGCTAACTTATTTGTTGAAAAGTTTAAATTGATGGACTCTTAATGCAAACATGGGAAGCACTCACTTAAAAGCTGACTTGCGACGGGGAGAACTATGCTACTTAAGTTAAGCATCACAATAATTACTTATAGTTACCTGTGCCAAATTCTATCATAGAGGTAGAAGCACCCTAGAATGAGTTGATGTATGAAGATCTTACATTATAAGATATATTTAGCATGTGACACCGACCCCAAAACCATATTGTCTCAATATTATTTCCTTGGCGAGTTTTGTTAAATCTTTTAAGGACAATTCAAATTCGGACAATGCAGTTTAAATTATCAAACAGGATTTGCTTGTTTTGATGTAATACAGTTAGCTCCTTTTTCTTTCTTTTTTGGACTGCTGGATTGTGTTATATTTTGATTATTTTCTTTTTGCGATATTAATATTCTTGTTCCTCATGATTTTTTCTGTAATGGTTGAAAACCTTTCATTACTTGAATTGGCTAGTGGCTACTTATTGTTAAGTCAAATACGCAGGACCCATAATCAAGTTCGTGTGATTTTTATTTTTGTTCAAAATCTTTTTTTAAACTTATTTAACCTTTACAATGCCTTGCATCAGTGTGTCAGACCTCTTGGATTACATCACACCAGATGCTGATCTGAAAGCAAGAGAAGCACAGAAAAAGGCTCGAGCTAAGGTAACACACAACTTTCTTTATCCATCATTTACCATATCATTCTCTTTCTTATCCTTCACTTGCCCCCCTCTGAATGTAAACATAACAAATTATCACCAACAGTTGAAGGGGAAACCTGGCCCCGGCCAAACCTGGGAAACAGTTCCAGATGAAACTCGAAAGGATGAAGATGTGTCTCAAGTGTATCCTACTGCAGAGAATCCAAGCGATAAAGAAAATAAATCTGAATCTCAACTAGCAGAACGTATAATTGATAAAGTTGAGCCCACGCTCTCAGATCAATCAACCCTCGATGAAAGTAATAACCTGGGGCAGGATGACACCTCAGATGAAGGATGGCAAGAAGCTGTTCCAAAAGGTCGCTCGCTCACTGGACGCAAGTCATCTTCATCAAGGAGGCCAACCCTAGCAAAACTGAACACTAACTTCATTAATGTTTCGCAATCATCAAGATATCGAGGCAAGCCTACAAATTATTCTTCTCCACGAGCAAGCTCAAATGAGACAAGTCCTTCGGTCGGACCCTCTGTTCCTGCTCCAAAGCAGTTTGTAAAGAGTGCAAGTTTCAGTCCTAAGGTGAATGGCACCAATGCCACAGTTGCCAGAGTAGATAAGTCAACAGATTCAAAGTCAGCCCCAACCAGCCCTGCTCTAAGCGATCAAATGGCTAAACCTGCTCCTTCTGCTAGTGCCATTAGCGTTCAGACAGCAAGTAAACTTTTCTCCTATAAAGAAGTTGCCCTAGCTCCCCCTGGTACAATTGTGAAGGCTGTGGCTGAACAATCACCAAAAGGAAACCTTGTTCAACAAAACACCGAGGCAAGCCGTGAGATAATTGCGACAGAGGAGGTTCACTGTGCAACGCCATCAGGAAAAGATGTGGAAGACAATCATGATGAGAAACTAATTGAAGGAAAAAAGGAAGCTGAAGTGGTGACTGAAAATGCAAATATTGCAAAAATTACTGATGTCAGAGATGAGGTTGCCATTGTGAAACCCCAGGAAGATAGTAGTGATACTGTTAAAGACAAGAAATCTGAAGCTACAGATATCACAGTTGGGCAGGTTGAGAACAATGGTTGTTTGAAGAATGTGAACGACGGGGCCTCTCAAAGTGTATCAAAGATAGAAGCACTAGAAAGTTGCCCAACAACTTCCCCCCATTCACTTTCCCTAACCAATTCGGCTGAAGATTCAAAAGAGTTTCTCAGTAACGATGCATCTATATCAAAAGAGAAGCTTACTGAAGGAGATGAAAAACAACATGAATCACTCAATGGTAATGCAGATAGTAATTCAATACCATCTGACGGAGAAAAGCAAGATGAAACAGAATCAGGAAAGGAAACAACCAAGAAACTTTCTGCAGCTGCACCACCATTTAATCCTTCGACAATCCCAGTTGTTGGCTCAGTTCCAGTTCCAGGCTTCAAAGATCATGGAGGAATTTTGCCCCCGCCAACAAATATTTCTCCTATGATTGCAGTAAATCACCGTAGATCACCTCATCAGTCAGCAACAGCAAGGGTTCCATACGGTCCACGCATATCTGGAGGCTACAATAGATATGGGAACCGAGTTCCACGAAATAAAACCGTATTCCATAGTGGTGAGCACACCACTGAAGGTAATTGCATTAGCCCTCCCACGATAATGAACCCACATGCCACTGAGTTTTTGCCTGGCCAACCTTGGGTTCCCAATGGCTATCCGGTGCCTCATAATGGATATATGACTTCACCAAATGGTATTCCAGTGTCACCGAATAGCTTTCCCATGGCTCCCAATGGAATTCCATTATCAACCAATGGATATCCAACATCTCAGAATGGCTTTGCAACATCCCCAACTGGTTCCACAGATCCAACACCAGTTGAGAATGTTGAAAGTGATCTTGGAAACACAAGTCAAACGCCAGATAAGGAAAGTAAAGAAGAAGCTCCAACGGAAATCAAGTATGAAAAGCTGGAAGCTGAGCAAAATACTCAAGATCAATCTGTCAGCGCTGAGAATGGCTCTAAAACAGAAGAAAAGCCTACAGCTGTTTGTAGTCAAGAAGAAAAAGAACTTGGCAAGGACATAGTACCTGAAGAAAAACAAGGCAAGTGCTGGGGGGACTACAGTGATAGTGAAGCAGAAATTATTGAGGTCACAAGTTAAGGTATGATGAAGTTTTCCTAGTAACTACCATGTTAAATCTAATTAATTTGTTCTTTGTATAACTTTTGGTCGTATTGACAGATTTGTAGCTCCTTGGTCAAACTCCAAGGGATGATGACGGAGTTCCAGAACAATGAGGTCCCAATTTACCACTGGGTTAGCGAGTTCTTTGAACTGCAAGGAAATGCAAAATTATTATACAACTTGGTACTCTAATAATGGGGGAGGTTAGGTTAACAGTCTTGTTTACGTTGTCCAACAATAGTCCTGTTAATAGCCTATTTTGCGGAAGCAAGTCATCTAAGACATGGAAGCCTTTGTTGAGTAGCTAATTAGCATCTCCTGTATTAAATTGTTTCAATCTTTTCCTGCTATAATTTTTTGTTGTGTTGACGGATTTGTAGCTTCTTAGTCATCCTCCAAGAGATGATAACTAAGTTCCAGAACAATAAGGTCTCACTTTGCAGACCTGTATTTTGTTTCCTTTGCAGTGGCCCTTGTTCGTTTTTCATTAGTTTGTTCATAACTTGAGATGTTTCTCTTTCCTATGATGAATAATTACGGTGCTAATGAGTAAACTTGCTGGCCTGGACTACTTTGAAAGTAAGAGTGATGTGTTTAAAATTCTAACAATCTTATTCACGTGTTCATGATATTTAGAACTTGATTAGAAAATTAATACTCCTCCGGTCCTTAATATAAGACTTATTTAACTAATGTGATTAGATTAAGAAAATTAGGTAAGTTAGTTAATTATAAGAAATATGAGTTGTTTTTCCTAAAACAACATAATCATTTTCCTTCATATCCCCTCTCCCTCTTCTATTAATTATGGTTGAGGGAGTATCCATAAAATAATTTAAGGCAAATTGATAAATATGAAAATAGGTCTTATATTTAGGATCAAAATCAACTCGACAATTAGGTCCTATATTAAGGACTAGATGAGTATTAAATAAGAATTTTTTTTTTCTTGGCAAGATAAATAAGAATTTTTTTTAGTTCTCAAAAGTTGATAAAAGAAATAAAATTCGAGAAGTGAAAATTAAAAATGTAAGCAGTGATCAGATTCTTGTTTGACATTATTATCCAATGAGTTCCTTAAAACACCAATACAGATGCTATGACTGCTGTGACAGAAAATTTGTCTTTAGTTGTCCCTTCTCAATTGACGGCGTAAATCGCAAAAATAAAAAGAAAAATCTTTTGTTGGCAAAAAAAAAAAAAAAACAGTTCTTAGATGAGTTGGTGTACAAAGTCAAAGTCAACAATTTATTTCAACAGTATTCTTTTTTATTTTTTTAAATGTACTTATCCACCCCCCAAAAAAACAAAACTCATAATTTAAGGCCATACTTTTATTTTAACTGAGATTTAAATTTTAAATATAGGCAATTTTTCCGAGATTATTCAAAAGTTTCATGCAATTTTATGTTTCGTTACCTTTCGTTTCACTCAAACAAGAGAGCTTATTTTCCTTCCACGTGATCAATTTACCATCAATCTTGGGCATATAAAAAAAATTTACTATCAGTAAATTTTTAATTTTCATTCCCAAGTCAAATCAACAAATTTAAATTTTCCACACCAGCATCAGTAAAAGTGGAATAAATCATTTATGGTTCTGAGTCACTCATTACAATAACTACAATATATATCACCTCAGATTACCAGAAGTAACCATTCCTCCTATATCAAAAAGACCTCACTTTCAAATCACACTATGAATGAATAACACACAATATGGTGCTAGCTAGCTAACCCTTCCCCAAAATCACACTTCTCAATCAGCTAATTGTAGTGAGTGGCATGTTCTAATTAATTATAAACCCCACAGGATGGTAAAGCCCTTCGAAAATCCATAATCACCACAGTGGCAATACAGTGACAAAGTGCCCCAAGAACAACAAACACATGAAAGATCTGATGGCTGTGTCCTGCAAGATCAAAAGCCCCAGGCTTCCATCTTTCTGGGAATCTACTAACATAAAACCAAGCTCCTGTGGCATATAGGAGAGCCATGGCAAGCTCATAACCAAGTGCCACTAATATATGAGGATGGCCCCAATGGAGGACAAGAGCATGAGCTGCTGGAATCACACCTGAAAAGCCCATTGAGAGGAACAAGATGGCCCTTAAGGGTCTGAATTGAGGAGCAGAAAGAGGAGGAGAAAGAAGAGTGATGATGACTAGGATTCCAAGAACAGAGATTGAGGTTAGATAGATTTGGCTTGCTAAAGGGTTGCAGAGGAAGGCGTAGTAGATGGGAGCCACAAAGGAGGAGACTATCATGATGGCGATGCCTGCGTAATCCAGACGCCAGAAGAAGAGGTTGAAGCGTTTGGAGTGACAGGCTAGAAGATGGGAAAGAGAACTGCAAGCCAAGCAGCCCATGCCACCAGCTAAGAATACAAACCATGGCCATGTTGGGATTGGTTCTGCTCCATATTCTCTTAGCCCGTGAAGGATTGATGATTCCGAAATTTGTCTTAAATGGGAATCCTATGAAAAACAAATATCAGTGTGCTTGTAAGGAAAAACAAACTTGCCTCAATATGAAACTCTTGACTTCATGTTCTGATTTTTAAAAAAAAAGCTTTAATTTTATTTTTGAATTAAAAGGACAGACGCTAATGATTTGAGGAAACAAGATAAGATTGAACACATAATCTCACTATGCTGCAATGCCATTGACTGTTTTAAATCTGTCATGGTAGTCTTGAATAAAACATGTGTAAAATTTGAAAAAAAAAAAAATATTATAATTTTAGAGTATATGAATTATAATTTTTAGATGTATCAGACTATTAAAAAATTTTTAACTTCCAAATGTTAAAATTATTAATATAAATTAAAATCCTTTGACTATTTTTTTTCCCACATGAATGTGGACTTCTTTGGGCTAATCTTTAAAAATATAAGATCTTGAGAACCGAGATAGAGTTAGGCCAACTTAATCGTGTGCAATGATTACTAATGAACCTTGCTCATCAAAATAAGTTTTTTTTTAAAAAAATATTATACCACTAAAATAAGGGCTCAAAGCTTAAGGAGCACCGGCCAAATAAATATATATATATATTATTTTGCCAACAACAAAAATGCTTTTTATACTACCTCTGGTCATAATTATAAGAATTAGCTGACTAATTTAAGGAGATTAAGAAAAAAATTAAATTAGTTATTTATACTAAATAAGTGTTATCTTTCTTAAAATATCCTTATTAATCAAGTATATTAGTTAGAACTATCATTGTTAAAAAAAAGACTTTAAAAAAATATATAAATATGATAAACAAAATGAATTAGAATCTTATATTTACAATCAAAATAAAAATCAAATAAAATATTATGTGAAGAATAGAAGGTAGTATTTATAATAAAAAAACAAAGCCCAAGAGAGAAAAACGAGAAATCACATGGGATCAAACCGATTGGTCCACTTATCAGCTAAGGTTTCACACTACAAATATCATATCTCGCGCCACTGGGATTTTGCTGGCGCCTTCCCTCCCATAGGCCCCACCACTTTTGTCCCCATCTCACTATACAAATTTCATTTATAATAAACTTCTAATTTTCACCTTTGTATATAGAAATAAAATGAATCTTAAAATATCCCTGGAAAAAAAAAAATTTTAAACTTATTATGGATGCTTCTGTCAACTTAAAAAAACTAGTTAAGAAAATTAAAAATTTTTAAAAATAATATCATCCAAAATATGGCTCTATTATCATGAAGATGACGCACCATGTAACATTACTTGAAATTATATTTTAATGTATTTTTATGTTTATACTCTATATGACTAATATTAATAGATTATACATATAGATTTATTACTGTTGGCCAAAAAAATTTATTATTATTTAAAAAAGTTGTTGATTGTTTTTATGACAAACTTACTGTTAGCGGATGCGCCTACTGCAACTTATCCTTCAATTTCTTTTTTAGGCCAACAGCTTATCCTGCCAATTTTTCAAATGCTAATCATAATTAAATTTAAAATTGTAAACGTACCGAGAATCGGGTGCCACCACTACCAGAGCCGTTGATCACCTCCGTCGTCATCAGCACGCCCCCCGCCGCAGCTCTGGTCCCACCAGCAATTAGAAACCTTGAGATTAGCCTCGTCGATCATCCATCATAAAAGCTATATTCCCTAAAACACCATAACAAACAACAAATTGACAAACATGTCTTTCAACGAGAACCATATACCTGCTCAAATTTGAAGCGAAATCTCCGAGCTCCAGCTGCATCGTCTTCATAGTGCTCACCAGAGCAAACGCCGCGAATATCAGAAATCCCGCTAAATGCCTGCACAAGCAATATCCAGGTTTGTTCATTTCAATTATTCTTTTGGAATTTATGCATTCGTACCCCAACATTTTGTAGAATAAGTTGAATGAAATTGAAATAGAAGCTGGATTACAGATACGGATACTCACGTCCATATGTTTAGGGTTTCGTTGTGCCATGAGAAGACGCTCCACAAGGCGTCCTTCACGGGCCATTCCGAACGGTAATAGTCCAATATGTATTCGTTATCTCTTAAGAATTCCGGCAACTCCTGGTACCTCACTAGTCGTCGTTCGAATTTCGTTGTCTTCTTCGCTTTCTCCTTCATCTCCGGACCGTTCCTGCTGCGTTTGTGACTATTATTAGCTCTCCAGTGATGACTGGTCATCGTCGATCGCCAAAATTGATGGCTCAGCCTCACCGGAAATATTCGCCGGCGTGAATCTCGCCGGGCCTCGACAGTCCAGCAGATCTGCTCCGAGCTCCGAGCTCCGAGCTTTATCGCTTCCAAGCCTTTGAATTTAGCCTATTTATATTCAGCCAACACTATCACCTCGTTTCAGCTCAAAAAAAAAAAAAAAAAAAAAAAGAAAAGAAAAGAGAAGAAAACAGTAACATCTGGTCATCACGGGTTTTGTTTTTTTTTTTTTTTAAATTTTCCCCTAACTTCTTGGGTGGGGTTTGAAAATAAGTTGCGGTAAAAGATTTTCCCGGGAACGAGAATGTATGGGTTTTGAAGACCGTCTAAAACTCTAAATAATAATAATAATAATAATAATAATAATAATAGTAGGTGAAAATAAAATAAGCTAAAAAAACATACTCCTCCGGTCCTTATTATAAGACCCAATTTGACTTTTTATTTGGTCCTAATTATAAGACCCAATTCATTTTCTCTCTTATATTTATGCATTTTTTTCCAAGATAATCCTTCTAATAATGATAGTTTTAGCCAATATACTTAATTAGCAAGGATATTTTAGGAATAACAACACTTATTTATTATAAATAACCAACTTAACTTACTTCCTTAATCTCCTCAAATAAGTCAATTGGGTCTTATAATTAGGACCGGAGGAGTACATTAATAATCTTATAACCTAATAATATGAAAATCCTGTATAATACTCCTCTGGTCCTATTTATAGGGCAGAGAGAGAATGTATTTTTTGGTCTTATTTATAGAATACTGAGAGAAATTTTTTATATGAATGTACAATTTTACCCCTCATTTATTATTGTATTGATTTTGTTTATATGTGGTATAATATATATTAAATAGGGATAAAGTTAGAAAGTTATTAAATTTTAAATAATAGTTAATAAAGTTTAAGGTTTTTCTTGGTATGTGTGAAACATGCTGAAAGTGTCTTATAAATAGGACCAAAAGAGTAATTTCAAGCTACTAATACATTCTAATTCAAAAATATAGTCATACTCAAATTCAAATTTCTTAAGATATTTGTCGTTACTTCTTTAATTTAAATTTAAAAGAAAACTATATCCACATAATGATCTCGCGTGAAAAAATTAACAGTAATGATATATATATATGCACATTTTTTTTGCCAAACAAATACACACACACAAGCATATGAAGAGTGTTTAATGTTGGAAATATCCAACACGACAATCCTGCGCTGGTGAAAATTGTGAAAATAATAATGGGAACCTGAATGTGGTGCGAGAGGAATCTGGTGTTTTCGATTAGATCATTGGAATAAGGGAGCAAAATGGCATGTTTGGGGCAAGGTAAAGAATGAGAATTTCGTGGGCATTGGAAAAAGTGAAAACCAAAAGTTGATGAGTTGACCTGCTTCGTATTATACACCAAACATGCCTTTGCAATGTTCCTCCGCACCTGGCCAATAGCTCATGAATGCTGTCTTCATTGTTTAATGTTTCATTTGTTACCTCGTGCTACTCCGTTTTGATTCGAAATGTTAAAACACGCAGATTTTGGATTTTTTTCAATTACATTTATTTTCTTTTTTTAATCCCATTCTGTTCCATATAAGCACAAATCCATGATTTAATTATTACTACCTCATGTCCTAATAATAAGATTTCGTTTATAGTTTACAAACAAACAAATGATGTCTTATAATTAGAAGTAGAGGTAGTATATCCTTATCTAAAACCTTAAGTCATTAGATTTTATCTAATTCCATCTAACATTTTTTAGAATTCGAGCTTAGGAGTATGACTATATACATTTAAGAATGATTTAAAGAGGGTTGGTATCATTAAGGTCACAACATATTTATTTTTCTTACTCAAGAGTTGTGGTAATTTTTATATTCTTTTCAAGACCCTAGCCAGTACTCACCCTTCATCTTGCTAGATGTTTTTTTTTTTAAAAAAAAGAAAAAGGAAGTAGTCTATTTTCAATTAATAGGACAAAATAATAAGCACTTTTTTTTTTAGTAAAAAAGAGAATGTATTGCTAAGATATGTACAAAAAGTTCAAGTTAACCATACAAGCAATCAGTTAGAGCTAGCAACAGCATCTAAAAGCCTCCTTGCATTAGAGGTGTGAGTAACAAAAGCTTGGACAAAAATAATGATGTTTTCTGGGGAAAGGGGATCATCAGCAAATATGCGTTTGTTCCGGTTGTCCCAAAGTTTCCAACATAGCGTGCCAAACGTGAGCCGGCAGTGAGTGCCCATACATCGAGAGTTGAGATTCCAAAGCAACCAGTCTTCAAAAGGTTTGGAGAAGAATTCCTGGGTTTTGTCATGGGGTACTAATTGCAGCAAGGGCAAAAGTGAAGAATGTGGTCAAGGTCCTCAACTGCTTTATGGCACAGATCACAAGTTCCTTCCATGGCTATGCCTCTTCTTAATCACTCTACATTAGAAAGGAGCCTATTCTTCTTGGCTAACCAAAGAAAGGTGCAAATTCTTTGGATCCCAGGCCACTTCCAGATCCAACTCCAGTATTTTTCAAGATTCTCATAATCAAATTGGTGGTTGGCGTGATACGCTGAATGAACTGTGAAAGCTCCATTGGCGGTTAGATTCCAAAAGCACAAGTCGTCTAATTGAGATTTTTGAGGGGGACTAGTTGCGGCGATTTGCAAGTTTAGGCTTGTAGGAAGCAGGTGTTGGAATTTGGTCTAGTTCCAGTCGCCCTGACTTAGTAACATAATCACTCATTGTCTTGTTAAGTTCGGTCTCTAGCACATTTGCGAAGGTAAGGTATTTGAGAGGACCCATGTCACCACCCCAGTGATCGAGCCAGAATCTAGTTATCTTACCATTCCCAATATGCCAAGTGATATTTAGTTCGGTGTTAGGCTAGACAGCAGCTGTACTCCTCCACACGTGGGAAGCTACTCTTGTCTTGAAAGCATAGTTCTAATTGGGCCCCCAGTTATATTTTTCTCTAAGGACCTGGACCCATAACTTGTTTGGTTGACTAACAAGATGGAATGCCAGTTTGGACAGAAAGGCATGATTTTGCTCTTTGAGGTCTTTCAGTCCACAACCTCCATGTCTTGTTGGACGGCACATGTCATTCCAATTAACCAGACTTACTTTTTGGTGGCCTTCATCTAATCCCCATATAAAGCCTCTTATGATTTTCTCAATAGATTTGCAAGAGGCGACAGGAAGGAAGGTAGTTTGCATGGTATAAAAAGGTATGGCACTTAGGACAACCTTGGCTAAAGTGATTCGCCCTGCTAGGGATAGTGTTCTTGCCTTCCAAGATGAGAGTTTGAGTTGAACCTTGTCTACAATGTATTGGTGAGTATCTTTCAAAATTCTGTCATGTAACAAGGGAACTCCTAGATATTTGCCTAGTTTGTTCGTCTTTTGAAATTGGAGGAAGTTGCATATTGCGTTGGCATCTCTCCTAGGGACATTCTTAGAGGAGTGAATTCTTGTTCTGCTTATGCCGACTATCTGTCCAGAGGCGGTGCAAAACTCAGCTAGTGTGTTCTGAATCAGTTGTAATTGGCTTTGGGAGATACCACTAAAGAGAATGAGATCATCAGTAAAGAACAGGTGAGAGAGCGGTGGACCTCTTCTTCCTAATTTAATGGTTTCCCATCTTTTGAGATGAACCTCTCTGTTAATTACTTGAGATAGTCGTTCCATGTAAATGACAAAAAGATAGGGGGAGAGGGGATCTCCTTGCCTAATGCCCTGTGTTGGCCGGAAAGGTAGGGAGGGTTTTCCATTGAGAAGGATTTGCATGCTACTAGTAGATACATAGTGCATTATTAGGTTTTTGAGCCTCAAGGGGAAGCCTGCATCTTCTAGTGTGTCTTGAATGAAATCCCAACTGAGCTTGTCAAAAGCTTTTTCCAAATCAAACTTGATTGCAAGCCATCCTTGTTTTCCCTATTTCCTCTTAATCGAGTGAATCACTTCTTGAGCTATTATTATATTATTAGTAATGTTTCTACCTTTGATGAAGCTGAATTGGTAAGGGAGTATTAGGTGAGACATAAGGGGCTTTAGGCGGTTGACAATGATTTTGGTTACAAGCTTATAGGCAACAGAGCAAAGGCTTACGGGGCAAAAATCTTTAACTGTTTGGGGGATTGGGATCTTTGGAATGAGGGTAATCAAGGTACTGTTTAGGCTGGGTTCGAGGGGCTCGCCATTGAACAGAGAAGAGACCATATTAAATAAAAATGTTCCCACTGTGTCATGGGCTTTGGAAGAAAAGAGCATGGAGTCCATCGGGCCCAGGAGCTTTTAATGGTTTCATATCAAATAGGGCACCTCTAGTTTCTTCAAGAGTAACATCAGCATTTAAAACTTCCAATTGAGATGTTGAAAGGGAAAGAAACATACCTCTATGTCTGTATGGTTCACATGTTGTGCCGGGTGCAGAGTAAAGGTTGACATAAAAATCTCTAATCAAACAACTTAGCTCAGCTTCATTAGAAATCCAGGTTCCTTCAGTAGTTTTAAGAGCAATGATTTTACTCCTGGACTGCCTAATCTTTGCCTTGGTATGGTAATAAGAAGTGTTTCAATCTCCCAAGTTCAACTAGGTAAAGCTAGACTTTTGTACCCAGAGTAATTCCTCTTGTAAGCAAATTTTTTTCATATTCTATGCATAGGGTTTGATTGATAGAATGTAGGGAAGCAGTAAGTAGTTTGTTTTCCAAAGCTTTCTGAGCACCTGTGATTCGCATGCATAGTTGTTTTTTTCTAACCCCAATTACAGCAAAACTGTCCCGATTCCAAGCTTTTGCTACATCTGTGAATGTCACAATGTTGGCACTTAAAGTGACATTGTCTCTCCATGTATCTTAGACAAGTTAAGGGAACTTGGTGTGGGTTAACCAAGGGGCCAGGAATTTGAAGGGATGGATTCTCTGACTCTCATTTGGGCCAAGGCCCATAATGAACTTAATTGGGCTACGATCAGAGCAAATTCTGGGCAGGTGAATTGTTGATGTGTTTGGGAATTTGTTAACCCATAATTTGTTAACTAAGACCCGATCTAGGCGCTCAAAGGATAAACCTCTTCTCCAAGTGAACCTAGCTCCTGAGAAGCCGAGGTCAATGAGAGAACAATGGTCTATGAAGTGGTTGAAATTCGGGCAGCCACGTCAAATGTTACTAGTGCTCGATCATCACTCTAAGACTGTGAGGACTGAGTTGAAATC